CGGAGCGCACAACGGAGCGAGTTCGAATCTCACTTACAGATCTTGTGTTTTTTCTCTCCTTCTGCACCCCTCACAATTTTCTGTATAATATGAATATAAAAGTGGCAGCTTTGTCTTTTGTAGGAAAATATATCTTTAATTTAAGATGTAGGACGTCGTTCTTATATATACATTCGTGCACACACACCTACATTTTTTAATATAATATTTTTTTCAGGGTTTCTAAATGCTATTGTGTGCATTAATTGCAGCCGATTTTAAAGCTCCATCAGTCACTAAAGGACACTGATAATATAAAATTTGTCCAAAGTATAAGTGTGCAGGTACAACTTAATTTTCTATCCTTAATCTTTTGGTGTTTTAACTATTAAACTCATTACTGCTTCCACTTACCAGCTCATCACACACCCCACCTCATCACTATGTTGAGGCTAAATGGCTGATTTTCAGGAAGTAATGATTCAAGTGTATAACACAAATATAGTAAAAAAAAACTATAAAGCAAATGTTGCTTAACACAATGTTTATTTTTATTATATTTGTATTATAAAATAGAATCATTACTGGGCACTACATTGTTACTTGGAGGACAAAAGATACCCTTTTGTGCCTTATACGATGACACGTACCTGCAGCCTGACCCAGAGAAAATCTCAGTGACCCAAGCAGACAAAACAGATGGAAGAGTGCTAAAAAAATATAATTAGTCAAAAAACTATGTTTAATCAAATAGTTTGATCTGTTGATTTCTTCATTTCCTGAAATAAAATGAATGATTTTGTACACTGCTTTATACACACACCTTTCAACGTGTAACATATTTTTCATATAGATTTCTCACCTTAAGTTGATGCTCATGTGACTTAATCTTTGAAGATGGACCTTATACAGCTACTTTAGAATTTAAATATGCAGATAAAAGATTTTGTGATCCAAGAGTAATATTCAAATATGGAAAAGTGCAGAAAATTCTTACACTGCTTGTTAGTTGAGGCAGAAGGAACTTCTTCTGCATGCAAAATAAAAAGAACCTAAAGCTATCTGACAACAATGACTTACAACAGTGACAGAGTGTGTGGTTTAAGTCAAAAACTCAACCACTGAAAAGCCTTTATTATAGGACACAGCAGTTAGACAGGCCTCTTTCTATTAGCTGCATGTCAGAAGAAATATTCTAGAGTGTTAAATAAAGAGCTCCAGTAATTAAATATTACCTTTTATGATAATGTTTCTGTGTTTAATGACTTTGGACAGAATTCTAGCTCCAGAAAGATTACAATTTCTATAAGCCTTATTAGTCAATACACATATTGTGGCCTTAAGAAATTAATGGCAAGAAAAATAAATGCATGAATGGTTACACAACATACTCAAAAAGGATGTTAAAGAGTAGTTTAATTTATCATTACAATAAAATGGAGGGTGGCATGTGTTATTTAATGAACTAAAAAATGTTTTTATTATTTATTTTTTATTTTCTTATTTATTTCTTATTCTATATTTCTTTCCTTCGTTGAAGCAGATGTGTAATCTCTGTGTTTAAAACCTCCAGATCTGCCTCTGTAAAGTGCGTTGCCCTTTTTTTCTCACCGTGACTTTCTATGGTGACTCGTGAATTCGGCGATCTACTGAAAATGCCTTCAGGTGTGTGCCGTGCACGCGCATTAACCCGCGGTTATCTTCAGGAGGTTGATTTAACTAACTCTTGTCACCTGTTTTGGAACCAACATACTCGCGGTAAGCAGGTTTTGGGTAAATCAACCGAGAGTTTAGGTTTTAGCAGATGGTAAGTTAACCCAGCTTTCTGGAATACCCCCCGGGACTGCATGGTACTTGGCAAAATCATGACAAGAGTAAGATCTGACTTTTTTTTAGGTCAAATGTAATTGAAAGCAGAAAAATATAAATATATATGCTTTCCATATGTCTCTCAAACGTCTTATTATCTTTTGGGAGAAGCCTGTGAAATAGTTGTTTTCAGAAATAATAAATCAAAATTAAGAGAGTTTTTTTCCTTAGAACAAGCAAAATAATCTGCTAATAGAGTAAGCAAAATTATCTTTTTCATTCACTCATTTTCTTTTCGGCTTAGTCTCTTTATTAATCTGGGGTCGCCAAAGCGGAATGAACGCCAACTTATCCAGCACGTTTTAACATCCATACACACTCATTCACACACTTAGGGTGCTTTCACACCTACACTTTTGTTTCGGAACGTATCTCGTTTGCCCAGTTAGCGCGGTTCGATTGGCATATGTGAACAGGGTAATCACGCTCTGTTCCGCGCCAAAGTAATCGCTCCGAGATCGCTTGAATGAGGTGGTCTCGGCTCGATTGAAACGAACCCTGGAGCGGTTCGATTGCAGTGAGAAAGCGATCCGATCCGAGCGCGATTATATCACAGTGTTTTATGGATATGTAATAGGCTTACGGCTATATGAAGAGAGAATTATGAGTAAGGCGGGAAGTTTCGCGAGTCTCCTGATGCCCGCAAACGAATGATGATCTCCCGGTAATCTCGTGTCTCTCTCCCAGTCCTCAAATAGGCATCATCGCGCACCCTTCTCACCCCTCCCCACCGTGTCTCTCCTCAGACACGTCACGCGCGCGCACCCTGTCAATCACCACCAAACCACCACCTCTGCTGACAGCTGAGCGGGACGCTGCAAAATAAACCCTGACACTGACCAATGTAAGGAGAGTTTACTCGCACGTGACTTGTTTTAGCTCTTTTGGTCCGATTAGAAACTTTGCAGTGTGAAAGCGAACCGCTCCAAGAGCAAAGAGCAACAATGTAACAATTCTAATCTCTGTTTCGGAACAACTGAATCGATTCACAGGTGTGAAAGCACCCTTACCCTACTTAACGAGACTTGTGTTGTTGCCTCGTAATGTGACATTTACAAGTCATCTTAACCAGGCGCAACATCCCAACTTTCCAATAATAAGTCATGTATAATTTCAAAGGAAAAGCCAAATATTTATTGCCAAAAATTCGATTAATATAGTGAAAAATATTAGCGCTGGATGAGATAAAAATTTTTTCAGAAGTTATGAAAGTTACACTGTGAAAAAAAAAGCTGCGTTCCACACAATCAATTTGTGTTAGGACAGCAATTAAGGATCGTTAAGCAATTAAGCAATTAACCGTTATGGCCTATTTCCACTGAGTGGTACAGTACGATACGGTATGGTCACCTTTATAAGGCTTGCAATTCCACTGCCAAAAGGGTACCTTGGGCGTGGTGTAGGACAGAAAGTTTGAGACGACGTCATTTTTACTCAAGGAAATGTCAAAGTAAAGGCTCGTACACACCGGGACACTTTTCTTTTGCGTTTATCGTCAGTGTTTTACGAGACGTTTTTCCGGATTCAAACCAAGCGATTTTCACTGGCGTCGAGCAGGAGAGTGCAAAATCACTTCTTGATGTTATATGGCGCTACACAACTTTAAGCTCCATTATTTTCATGTACAACACTCTGTGTTCGCTATTAAAGAAAAAACAAATCAGATGCTTGTCATAATCATAACTCTAAAATGCGATATGATCATTTAAATGATGTGCGCACTTTTTGGTTTCACTTTCACTGCAAAGTGCGCTCGTGTCAGGGTTGGCATCACTTTGGGGAAAAAAAAATTATTAGCCCCCACTTTTTATTTTTTCCACATTTTCTGTTAATGGAGAGAAGATTTTTTTTTCAACACATTTCTAAACATAAGAGTTTTAATAGCTCTTTCTTTAGAGTTTCTAATAACTGATTTATTTTATCTTTGCCATGATTATAGTAAATAATATTTTACTAGATATTTTTCAAGACACTTTTTATACAGCTTAAAGTGACATTTAAAGGCTTAATTAGGTTAATTAGGTTAACTAGGCAGGTTAGGGTAATTGGGCAATTTATTTTATAACAATGGTTTGTTCTGTTCTGACTATCGGAAAAAAATATTGCTTAAAGGAGCTAATAATATTGACCTTAAAATGGCTTTTAAAAAATTTAAATCTGCTTTTTTTCTAGCCGAAATAAAACAAACAAGACTTTCTCCAGAAGAAAAAATATTATCAGACACTGTGAAAATGTTCTTGCTCTCTTAAACATTATTTGGGAAATATTCAAAAAGAAAAAAAAATCAAAGGGGGTTAATAATTCTTTTTTGTGTATTTTATCCTTGACAGTTTTTGAAATATGTATCAGTCAGTCTTATTTGACTAGTTTGTTTATTGTTTAAAATATTGTCAATAAAAACAAACAAAACACTGTATGAGAATATATTATTTCAACGTTACAAATAAGGAAATCATTCGTTCTCTTTCAGCTTAGTCCCTGATATATCAGAGGCCTCCACAGTGGAATGAACCACCAACTATCACAGCATATGTTTTACGCATTGGATGCCCTTCCAGCCGCAGCCCAGTACAGGGAAACGCCAAAACAAACTTGCATTCACCCACACACTCATACACTAAGGCCAATTCTGTGCACCCAATTCACAAATGCCAGCTGGCCCAGCCGGGACTCGAATCAGCAAACTTCTTACAGTGAGGTGACAATGCTAACAACTGAGCCACCATGCCACTCTTGTATACAAATATACTGTATATAAATGTCCTTCTACAAATGCGAGTAGCAGGGACATTTAACCTTGTATAGTTAATAGTGAAATGTGAAACTTATTTTTATTTACTAACTCTGTTCCTTGGAATGCGTTACCCAGAAGTATTACAGAAATTAAAGTTGCTAATATTTTTAGAAGTGAAGTTAAAAATAATAACAAAAATGGGTCTTTCCGTTAAACAGAAATATACAGGGGGCTAATAATTCATGAGGGCTTATAACTCTGACTTCAACTGTATAAGCACAAATGTATTTTTGTAGAGCATCCTATAGGAAATATGAACTTAAGAGATCTATGAGGTGTGTACTCATTTATGCTGAGCACTGTAAACCATTTTTAGGAAGGAAGCAGCAGTATGTTGGAAGAAGCACAGTGTTCTTACCATACATCTTTCCTTCATCTGAGAGGATAATTTTGCGGCGTCCACAGGGCGGGTAGATGGCCAGCGCCTCCTGGAAGCTCTGCTCTATGTCAGGGCTCCACACCCCCTCAGCATCATTGTCGATGGGCTTGTCTGCCGAGTCGCTCATCCTCTCGATGTCTTCGGCAGAGCTTTCGCTGCCGCTCCAGCTGCTGGGATCAATGGTGGCGGTTGAGACCTCCAAGCCGAAGCCTGGAGCAGACTAGGGTGAATCCTGGAGGTGACAAGAAACAAACACAGAGTTGTGGTTACTCGCTATACCTAATAAATACCATCAGTGGTATTTCAGGTACAGTTGAAGTCAGAATTATTCGCCCCCCTTTGATTTTTTTTTCTTTTTTTAATATTTCCCAAATTATGTTTAACAGAGCAAGGAAATTTTCACAGTATGTCTGATAATATTTTTTCTGCTGGAGAAAGTCGTATTTGTTTTATTTTGGCTAGAATAAAAGCAGTTATTAATTTTTTAAACACCATTTTAAGGACAAAATGATTAGCCCCTTTAAGCAAATTTTTTTTCAATCGTCTACAGAACAAACCATCCTTATACAATAACTTGCCTAATTACCCTAACCTGCCTAGTTAACCTAATTAACCTAGTTAAGCCTTTAAAAGTCACTTTAAGCAGTATAGAAGTGTCTTAAAAGATATCTAGTCAAATATTATTTACTGTCATCACGGCAAAGATCAAATAAATCAATTATTAGAGATGATTTATTAAAAATATTATGTTTAGAAATGTGTTGAAAAACGTTTATCTCCGTTAAACAGATATTGGGGACAAAAATAAACACGGGGGCTAATAATTTAGACTTCAACTGTATATGAAAAATATCCAAACGAAAAATAAATACAATTTCTGCGATATTTTTGTTGAGTATTGCGATAACGATATTTCTTATGATATAAGTAATATGTCAAGAAACATGCTATTTTATGATCATTTTAATGATATTAAAATAAACAGATAAAAGACATGATTTAGATTTAATTCACTCTATTTCCACTAAGGAAATGTAAACAACTGTGTCAAGATGCAAACATTTAGTCTTCAAAACACTATGAATAAGTGAAAACCTCTTCATATTCTGATTCTGACTGGCTGTTGTCAATTTCCCCGTCTTGACTCCCACCATAAGTATGTTTTACTTTCGTTTCGTTACTTGCGCTTGTATGTAAGAAAGTTATCACAATTCGATGAAGTTGAACACTTTACTGTGAATTCAAGTGAGTTTAGATGTTAAACAATTCGCTGTGCACATTTCTCACAGCCCCTTGCGCTGATTTTTACTTTCATTTTCAAATTTTGATTTGAAAGGTTGTTTGAAACAGTTTGTTTGTAAAAATATTATTTTAATTTGATAAAGTTAAACCCTTTCCTGTGAATTTGAGTCAGTTTAAATGATACACATTTCGCTATACACATTTCTAACAGCCTCTTGCACGACTTTTTACTTTCATTTTCAAATTTGCGGTTTTATGTAAAAATGTTATTTTAATTCGATTCCTATTCCTGACTGGTTGAGAATCTATAAAAAATATGTTATGATTTAAGTGAGATTTAGATGTTACGCAAATCACGTTGCACATTTTGAAGCAGGGGTGCTGCAAGTTAATTTTGCTTTTGAATTTTTGATCATGAGTTCTCTATGTATAGACAGCGACAGTGCTGCGTGAACAGCATTTCCAACCTACTGTAAATGTAAGATGTCTGGCAGACAATATTGCTATGCTGATATTTCTTAAAAGTAAAAAATGCAAGGAAAAAGCACAGTCAAATCCCAAGTTTGATCATTTAAAGATAACTCATTTGCTGTATATATGTATGTATTTATATATTTGATTTTGAGCTTTGTTTTTCAATTCCAGTTTACTTTTGTCATGACAAAAGTTTTTATTATGTATTTCAAAATCATGATGTGAAACCGATAATGTGAATTGTATTGCATGATATTGCAGTTGAGTGAATCATTACATCCCTAATAATCAGGTTATAAGCATGCATTAAGAAAGTATATAAAAGTCAATTTCAATAACATGCTAATTTTAGAAAGCCTGAATCCTTCCTAACAGCAACTTTTCCAGTTTCCAGCCCTGAGCTTTGGCCCCGGCTCCAAATCACCCCATAAATCGGGGTCATAAACCATAAGAATGCAATTTCCTCTTGAAAATGTAATACTCTCCACCCAACTTCGCGTGAAACATTAAGGATGTCCAACGCCAAGCACCTCCGAAAAACTCATGAGCATTCTTGAAGACTTTCTCCACCTCTTCCCCCCCCAGCCTCCCGACAGCTTCCTCTCTCCGTGCCTGCTTCCATTCAGGCAGCACAAGCTGTTGTGATGTGGGACTAGCAGCATATGTTTCTTCTAGAATATCAGTTCACGAGGGGGGAAGGGAGCAGGCTTTTTGGAAAAAAAAAAAAAGGGGGGGGGACGCTTTGGGAGAGTGGAGGGAGCTGTTACTGAATTCCGTGTTTGTATGCTGAATGCTGACACTGCAGAACAGACTCGCAAACTGATGAGAGAGGGGAAAAAAAGCCTCCCCTTTTCTGACCACTAAATGGTTTGGGCCTTCGTGCTCTCTCTCCCCCCCTCCAACTGAACTGAATAATGAACTACGCTGGTAATCACTTCCAGCGCTGCTACAAACATAATGTGGTTGTTTCCGCGCAGTACCTCATCTTGGAACCGCATTTTCCCCCCACTGTCAGATATACAAACTGTTTAAAGATGGCCAGTTTGAGGGGAACGCTCGGGAGCTCGGTATAGATAAACATGTTTACTTCGGCTATCCTTGCAGTGTTGGCTGCCACACGCTAACTGAAAGCCTCCTTGAAAAATGGCTGCCATTGGTCCCTCGGCCACACATGGCCTACTTAAGAGCAGAAGCAAAGGCCGATGTCTCAAAATACCAATGACAAGAGAGTGTGGTTATAAAGTAAATTGAAATAGTCTTCGAGAGGTAGATTTTTTGTTTAGCATTTGCTGCATGATGAAAAAAAAGTTGTGTGAGTGATATGAGCTTAAAAAAAAGGCATACACTGTACAAAATATCTGTAAACTAGCTAAATTAGTTTTACGTATTTTGTTACTTATGTTTTTATTTTTCCCCCATTTATTTATGCTTTCGAATCGCATTATGAGTTTTTTCTTCTTCTTAAAAAGTAGGAAAACGTGACTTTCATTGACATTTTTAATAGTTAAAAAATTGGTGTTGTATATTACAGTACAAAATCTTGTCAGTACATTTTCTGTTATTTTACAGACTTATTCCTCCATCCATTCTTTCTTATACATTTTATTATTTCAAACCACTAAAATGTCAATAAACATAATTTTGTTAAACTGCAGAGCTGAATTTCCACATCATAAGTTGACAGAGCAGAGATGCAATTTTAAAAACGTAAATAAACGGAAAACATTAAATACGTAAACTGTTAATTAGGGTTGTAACGGATCACAGTTGACACGTATGGATCACAACCCACGATTCGGAACACATGTGACCCGCGAATGAATACTTTTTACGATTAATACTTTACTAAATTTGTAACGATCGCAGAGAGATTGCTTCATGCATCATTCAAATCACATGTATGAAAGCATTTAGGCTTTCCTGTAAAATGTAATGATGACGGAAGAAGTTGTGGTAGGTTATTCTGGATGTTGTTAGTTTCTCAGGCTATTAAAGGTGTTTTCTGTCATTACTTGTTTAGCCTGCATTAACGCATTCAGTGTAAAGCTGCACAATTAATCACTAAAAGATCAGGATCTCAACACCCACGCAACATAAATTATACATGATGGTGATTTGCATATGTTTATTAATCCTTCAAATCGCTGCATTAAAAAAAAAATCAATAAAGAGATTGAGTTTTTAGGTTACAAACTGTCAAATAACACAGAAGTACTGGTATGGTAGTTTATAGTTAGATAAAACCACTGATGTTTATGGTAATGTTAAAAATGCCATCATATGCATTTAACGATGCTTAAAAATGAAAGTTGTAGGCAGCAATTAGGTTATTTAACCAATAGGTGGCAACAACCAGCCATCAAAAATATGCCACTGAATAATTATTCAAAACTGACACATATAGCAACGAAACAAAGTTTTATGATTAAATAACTAAATCATTTATTGAAAATGAAACTAAAGATAATTATGGGGTGTACAAATTACGTTAGGTTTCAACATTTAGTGTTATCAGCAACAGTAGAGGTAACAGTGAATTTTTCACCCTACTGAATATTTTACAGTTTATTTTTATTCAGCTGACTATTTTTTCATTTTATTTTTTATAAAATGACAGGTTCTAGGTTCTGTTTGTTAAAACCAAAAGTGTCTTGCTGTACTGTTTTTGTAATAAATGCAAAGCAAACTCCATTTGTCCCCTCCCCTTTCGGCTGATCCAAAAAATGGTCCTAAAACGGGACTAAAAAACTATAACGTGATCCAAACCATGAGATTTGTGATGCATTACACCACTACAGTTAATTAACAGATATTTTTTACAGTGTAGTTTATAATAACATTAGTCAAATATTATTGCTGATCACAAATATATGCTTTTATGAATGATAATATCTGCATTGGGATTTACCATAAATGGACATCATTGAATTATAAGACTCTGATTGTCAATTTGTGATTGACATGCTTTTCAACAAATATGTTTTCAGCTAACCTTTGGACAAGACAAGATAATCTGTGATGTTTCACTTCAAAAAATTTTGTAAGAAAGTGGCAAGAAGGCAAAGATCTGCTATTGACCTTTTTTTTTTGACGTAAGAGCGGGAACAGTCTTTGGACCTTTATTGGCTCGAGACTTTGTTTTCGAGAATTGATTTTTTAGGTGTAAAAAACAGCTCATGATTCTGCTTGATGTAGTAAACTGGTATTTTGTAATGATATTATTTATAGATAGAGTAGTTTGACCATTCTCTGCCATTGGTTATTTCTAGTAATTTCTTTGCAATTGAATGGCATAGCTTACTTCTGATTTACAGAATAAGGTAAACTTTCAAATGACAGTAAACAAAATATGACAATTTCTCCTCGTTTCTTCAAACCTTAACCTTAATGAGTTCATGTTTTTTTTTTTCTATTGAACACAAATCAAGGTATTTTAAAACATGATGATAGCCAGCAGCCATTGACATCCATAGTTGGATGGAAAAATACTATGGAAGTCATGGCTACAGGTTTCCA